TCTGAAAGAAAGACAATGACATTCTCTGTGATCATAAAGTTGTCTATAATTTTTATCTAAAACAAGAATGCCATTTTCACTTCACAAAGTGGGGAAGTAGGGAAGAAGCATGCCTTCCTGATGAGTGTGGGAACAGGTAGGAAGACTGGGTGGGCACAAGGAAGGCAGAGGTTTGGGTAGCTGGAGAGCTTCTTCAGTGTAGGCTCTGCAGGGTCAAGGGAGTGGGTCTGGGGGCTTGGTGGAGCCGCCAGCTGCGGGGTAGAGGGCTGACTGGGGGTGTCAGGGGCCCATGTGGGGGTAAGGCAGAGTGAAACAACTGTGGGTTTGAGTCTCAGGAGGTGGAGGTGGCAGGGCTCTGACTCAGGATACAGGGGAGACATCAGGCCGTGGGAGGCCCAGGCCCTGGGGAGTACTGATCTGCTCGGCAGCCCAGGCCACGGCGCTGTGTCCTTGAGGCAGGTAGGCCCGGGTCGGTGTCCTCTGGGGCTCTGCTGTGCCAGGAGCAGAGGCCTTGCCTCGGAGGCCCAGGCCCGGGCACAAAGGAAGGGACCACTCTGTGTCTCCATACAGGCCTGAAGGAGGATGGCCTGGCCCCCTGTTTCTGCCTCTCTACCTTGGCCTGGAAGGTTCAAAGCAGAGAGGTGCTCAGATTCTTTTTTTTGATTTATTGCATTGGCTAGGGGCCCTCGGCGGGCCTCCTTGACATAGGGCCCCAGGGGCTCCTGGATAGGCGGACATCTGTAGAATCTCCCCTGTGCTCCACAGGAGTGAGTTCGATGGTCACCAGGCTCCAACTGTGTGTGGGGTTCTGGGCATTCCCCAGCCATTTCATCAAACTCTTGTGATCACTAGAAAAATCCAACCCCATGAATATCTGGAGGGGTGGCTTGCGGTGAAAGCTTCTCTAGGCCTTGGGGACCATCGTCCTCCAGATTCTGACATGGTCCCAGCAGGGTGGCACAGTGGGGGCGGGCTGGCTGCAGACCCAGGAGAGGCTACGGCTCCCATCCGGGCCCAGGCGGCAGCGGGTGGGCCTGGGCCAGGGGGAACCTCGCTTCTGGGCCAGGCGTGGCAGCGTGGCCATGGCTGTGCCCAGGCAGCTGCCCATGATCTCAGTGCAGCGGAGTCGGGACCTCTGAGGTGGAAATTCGGCTTCTGTAGGTTCCCAAAGTCTGCAGTTGTGAAGCACGCAGAGCTAGGAGGATCATTGGCATCGGGCACAAGGACAGCGCGTGGGGTCACTCGTGGGGGCCCTCTGGGCACGGGGTCGTGCCCGTGTGGGGCCAGTGCCCCATGGATGTGGCAACTGTGTGGGGCATTCCCTGCTGCTGAGGGCGGGGTTGGGGGGAGAACCTCCCACTTCCCAGCACTGGTCCCAGGCGCTTGGCTCCAGCAGAGGGGCCAGGAGGGCTTGGCTTCTGTATGTGACATTGCAAGGGAGAAAATGGAATAGTTTCTATCAGGTCCCGAAAATTATAGAAAGTCGGCACAATGGCCCTGTCTTTATTGTGAAAATGAACATAATACACCTTAAAGAGCATTCGCTCTTTTAAGGAAAATGAAGTCAACTTATTAGTAAAGCGGATATGTCTTTCATTCTTCTTGAATAGTACCTGATGTCAGTCACCTCTGCAATCTGAAAATGGTGAAAGCCATTCAGGATTTATGTTTTAGCACTGACAGTGTTTATTTATGTGGACTCTCCTATGATTTTCAACCTTTATGCCCTTCATACATTCCTATATAGGTCGTCTCCATTCTGAACACTTAGGCCATTTCTTTCGTGTCGTTTCTATTGGTAATCTGTGTTTACAGAGTAGAATGAGGCACATTTCCAATTTACAGTTGGAAAGCAGATAACTGCAGAAACAGTGTTCAAAGGCTGCTGGTAAATTGATTATAGCACTTCAGTTTGGAAGTCTTTTATTGAGTTGGCTCCAGTACTGGAGTAAGAGAGGGAGGGAAATGTGGTCAACAGAGGAAGCAAGTATTGGATGAAGAGTGGCACCTGATTTGTCTGGACCCAAGCTGTAGATGGCTGAATGAGGAAGACACTAAAAAGAGCTTGATGAGGAAGTACAAAAGGCTCCTGTAGCTCAGAAAAAAAGGCCAGTGTTGAAGCCCGCGTGCTGTCAACTAGTGGGTGATGCGAGAATAAGATCCTTAATGTTCTACTGTGTAATTTTTCTTGTTTTTTTCATTTTGGTAGATCCTTATTTAATGGATGATCCCTAAATATATGCTTTTCAAACAAAGGAAATTTTCTATGCTAGTTTTTTCTTAATAAGACATTTCTTCATAATGGTAGAAATGACTTCATTCATAGCTAAGACACGTTTTCAGACAGTTATAACACCAGAGTGGATGTTCTAATGTAATTAGATATTATTTACTTACAATGTATTTTTTTTCCCCCATCATCTGCAGAATTTCCCACGTCCTAGTTTGCAATGTAACCCAGCGAGTGTCATTCTGGTTTGTGGTTACAGATCCTTTGAAAAATCACACCCTTCCTGCTGTTGAGGTACAGACAGCCATAAGGTAATCACCGCTAAATATGTCTTCTACTGGTAAATCAACTTGTTGATTAGTTTGCTGTTTTCATAGATTTTGAAGAATTCTCTCTCTTCTTACAATGACTTATGTATAAATATGTCAAAGATTTAATTTTGTTAGTTTGTTTTAGTGATCAGTTTGGATGAGTGGTTCTCATCCAAGGACAATTTTGCTTCCAAGGAAACATTTGGAAATGTCTGGAGACATTTTTGTTGTCATGGTTGAGGTGGGGTATGTATGGGGGGTTCTACCAGCATTGAGTAGACAGAAGTTGGGGTGCTGATAAACATTCTATTATACACAGGATAGCGCCTCAAAACAGACTTATTCAACCCCAGATGTCAGTTGTGCTGTGGCTGAGAACCCCTGGTTTAAATATTAGCCACGAATGTTTACTACTGTCTTCTTTTGTCAAGAACACCTTGTATGGCACTATTGTGTGATGGTTCATCACATGGATTCTGGAGCCCAAATCCTTCTGGTTTTGCCTCTTGCTAACTGTTTAAATACAGATAAATTACTTCCCCTTTGTTATTCTCTTGTAATCTGTAAAATGGGAATAATTATGGTACCTCTCAGAGTTGTTGAGATTAAATGAGTTATTAAATGTAAGGTGTTTAAAGAACCAGTCATACCTTTGACTTTTATTTAAAAACCAAGACAAAAATTCTCATTTCTTGGGTCTCTAAGGACCTACCTTCCTTAATTATCTTTCCCTTTAAAAGATACTTTTTGAAAAAACAAGGTAAAGTCATGACTCTCATACAAATTAAAAATAAATGCCATTAAAGATTTTATTATCTCATTAATTAATGAGGGAACTAGTAGTAAAATGTTCAAAACAGTTCAAAGGAGACTTTCAAGGAACCATGCATATATAGAAATCAAAATAGTAATCAGTCCATAGAAAATCAAGTGGACAAAAATAATTTACATTATGTCAGTTTTCTACTACTTACAGATTTGCAACATAACTCAAAGACCGGGGCACCCGGGTGGCTCAGTTGGTTAAACATCCAACTCAGTTTCAACTCAGATCACGATCTCACGGTTCTGCAAGTTTGAGCCCTGTATTGGGCTCCACACTGACGGTGTGGAGCCTGCTTGGGATTGTCTGTCTCCCTCTCTCTCTCTGCCTCTCTCTCAAAATAAATAAATAAAAACTTAAAAAAATAACTCAAGGACAAGTAGAAGGTGTAAATTGTCCAGAAAGGTGTATCCACCAGACACTCAGTAGTATTTTTTTAACCCAATTTCAAGTTTTACACATTTTTTTCCTGAGAGTTTTTCTCCTCCTCTCCTTGTGATCATAACAAACTTTCAAAACTGAAATGTGTTCTTGACTTCAAAGAAGAGGAAGGATGCAGTTTGTTTTTACTTCACCCACTGTGCATTTTATGCATGTCAAAACTTTCTATCCCTCAAATGATTAATGTTGGGCAAAAGTATATTGGAAGAATGAGTTAAGGAGATCAACTCTTTCTCGAACAAGAAAGAGTGAAACAAAGTAGCGCTCCTCAACAAAGGATTTACAAGTTACTGAAGTTCTGCTCTTCGCCAAGGAGAAATATCTAGTGAAAGAATTCATTTGCTCTCTGTAAAATATTAACATATAAGATAATGAGTATATAATCAAATGCCAAAGGTTTTTGTGTGAACAGTCATCCAGTTCCCTTACTGATCTGTACCAGTGCGAAATGATTTAATCTGCTTTAGCAGGAAGGTTTGACCTGTATTGTTTCTGCACTTCTGCCCCTAAGACTTACTGTTAATACCCAGCCCTTAGGGAATAAGAATTAGGAACAGTGTATTTCATAGGAAAAGGAATTTTATTCAAGCTCTCCCTGTGATCTGCGGGGGCCACAAGGAAATTAAGCTACTGCAGTTAAAGCAGGCTTCCGTGAACCTGAGGGAGAAGAGTGAGTGTTTAGGATGAAAGTGTCTGTCAAAGGTCCTAGCAGGGGAAGCTATTTAGGGGGTGAGGATGGCCAATAGAATGAGAATTTGTGTTAGGGAATGTGTAGGTCTCACCAGGATTGTATGAAAATAAAGGGAACAATACCAAGAAAGAAAGATACCAGGAAGAGCAAGGAGATGGTAGCTAGAAGGCAGGTGATAGGAATTTTTGGGCTGAAGAATCTATGGAGTTGAAAAAATAATGCTAGTTCCACTGAATATTTGCATAACACTTCCTGCTTCATAAAGCGTGTTCCTACACATCTGTGGCATTTAATATCAACACCAATTGTTTTTGAGTAATTATTATTATCCTCGGTTTATAAATGAGGGAATTGAGGCCCAGGGAGATTAATTTTAATTGATTTGCTGAGGCCACCACACTAGAAATATAAAAAGTGAGGATTTGAACCCAGGTGCGCTGCCATCACACCCAGTGATGTTTTTTCTCTCCACCAGAGTGTCCACACTTACGGAATTATGTGAGGGAATGAGCCACCAGTTCTACGATGTCTGTTTTAGCTCTGTCGTGAGGGCCTGGCCTTATCAGGCCAATCTTGGCTGGAAGATGTCCATGGTGACTGACACCTATTGGGGATTTCAGTGATGGTTGGAGTTTTAGTCTGTATTGAACTTCTTCATTTTTTTAAAATTTTTTAAAAAGCACTTTTAATGTTTATTTTTAAGAGAGAGAGACAGAGCACAAGTTGGGGAGAGGGAGGGGCAGAGAGAGAGGGAGACACAGAATCCAAAGCAGGCTCCAGGCTCTGAGCTGTCAGCACAGAGCCCGATGCAGGGCTCGAACTCACTAACAGTGAGATCACGACTTGAGCCGAAGTCGGATGCTCAACTGACTCAGCCAACCCAGGTGCCCCTGATCTAGAACTTCTAATCAGCCTGAGAGGCAAAAGAACAACAGAGTGTTCACTAACCAGGTAGATAGAATGAGAAATACAGAGTAACTTCTCATTTTACTCTGAGTTATACCTTAGTTGTGGGATTTGTTATTATGTGGAGAGGTTTGTGTTCCCAGATTACCAATAATATGTTATGGAAAAAGGAAACTTTCCATAGTTTGATAAAAGAAAATTACACTGGAATTATTGCCTGCTGTAGATTTTCTGGCTGGGATTCTTTTTCACATTCATGAATAATAATGCCTCAACATAGATTTTTATTTGCTAAAGGAGGTCTTTCCTGATAGCTTGGTGCCAGTCTACAGAGATTCTCAAGCCATTACTGTCAGGTTCAAGACTTAAGCTGTACAGAATGGTAGTCACCCGCCAAATGTGGCTATTGAGCACTTGAAACGTAGCTAGTCCAAGATTAGATATTCCCTAAGTGTAAAGTATTGAGTACAAAATAAAACGTGAACCAACTCAATTTTGATTACAGGTTGAAATTATATTTTTCTAGATATATTGGCCAAAAAAATGATTAAAATAATTTCAGGTGCCTGGCTGGCTCGGTCGATTGAGCATGTGACTCTTGATCTCAGGGTCATGAGTTCAAGCCCCATGTTGGTTGTGGAGCCTACTTAAAATTAAAAAGAAAAATTAAAATAATTTCACTGGTTTCTTTTTACTTTTTCTTAAATTGCACCTCCTAGAGAATTTGAAGTCACACATGAAGCTTACATATATTTGTATTTTCCATTGCTGCTCTAGAGGTAGATGAAGTCAGTTTGTCTAGTGCGAATTCAGTAGATGCCATACACTATCTCTAAGAAATCTCACCTAGTTTGCAAGTTACAGTTAGAAATTCACTTATTTGGTTTCATTCAAATAAGTCTTTGCTACCAACCCATCCCTAACTGCTGCCACCACCAAAAATGCAGATTTTCCCCAGGAAGAGTAACTCATTTACCTTGATAATTTTCTAGCTTTTGGACTCCTCAAGCACCTGTTACTTTAGTCATATGGAACCACTTGGAATTTCCCGAACAAATCTACTATACCATGTCTCCATTCCTGTACTCACCACACATTTCAGGAAATCAAACATGGTGGGGAGAACTTAAGCTCGGGACTTCCCGTTACTTCTAGGACATTCACAACTGTGGAGGACAGTAGACAAGCCTTTCTGTAGCAGCCAGCACTGCTCTGAAAAGTACCACAGCACGATTGCCCTCTCATCAAACTGTCTAGTCAACCTCAAGTCTCATGCTACAGGGATGCTCTGTTTCTAGAGATAATTATAATCATGGAGAGATGGGTCTGGACCTTCTGTTTCTAATTGTTTTCCTCTCTTGTTTTGTTTGTTTTTGATCATTGTTGTATCCTAGAATGAATAGGAACCGGATCAACGGTGCCTTCTTTTTGAATGACCAGACTCTTGAATTTTTAAAAATTCCGTCCACTCTTGCACCACCCACCGACCCATCTGTGCCCATCTGGATTATTATATTTGGTGTGATATTTTGCATTGTCATAGTTGCAGTCATGCTATTGATTTTATCAGGAATCCGGCAACGTAGAAGGTAAGATACTAAAAGGGAATGATTTAAAGAGCATTTTCCTATTTCCTCATGACTCGGGAAAGTAAGGAGAGCATTTTCCCCAAGCTGAAGGTAATGCCTTAAATCTGAAACTTTGAAAATATTGGTGATTGGCAAAATGTCACTTATGCTCTTGTGCTTAGAGACTTTTTACAGTCCAGTGTCCCTTACTATGACTCCTTCCATTACTGTCTTTTTCTTTGTTCTACACCGTATGAATATTTCATATCAAGAATTGATTTTAATATCTGTGTTAAGATTTTGTAAGGTGGATATACAAAGCTAAGCAGATTTCTTGGGTACGCAGGGTTAATCTTTAATAGTCCTCCAGCTCCAAATGCTAGCAGTTCCACAGTTCTTTCCATGCATCCCCAGCTTGGCTTGCCTTTTCTTGGCCTCGTGCCTACAGCTGCCATCTTGTCCCAGATACTTTTGCGCTTTTATACTTCCCTCCCTTCAATAGTTGCTTGTCCCTCTAGTGCCTATGCTACTACATGGAACCATGGCCCTAGAAGTGACCTTTGAGTCAACACCTTGCATCAGAATCACCTGAAACATTTGTTAAAATGTAGATTCCTTTGCACTACTGCAGACTTTCTAAATTATAATCAGTGAAGGGGATGTATTTTAATGAATATCCAGGTTATTCTAATTCACTTAATTTGAGGGCTTCCAATTTAACTACTTTTTAGAGATTCCTACTCCCTGAGTTCATTTATCTGGATTCTGGGGCACTGCAAACTTTGCTGTCTAAATGATTGCAATTACTTCAATCTGGTCGGAATTGCCGACCAATGGGAGAGTTACTAAGGCAGTGGGACAGGAGGAGAGGAGATAGGATTTCTCAGCATGATGAAAGGAGAAAATAAATTTGTTTACAAGAACCTCTGATCCAGAGAGGGTCCTTACTCTTCATTAGGCCATTTGATTCTTCTAAAACCTTCTCTTCCGATACCAAGGAAGAGGAATTCAGGTAAGTGGGAATCACAGGACATGCGTTGGTTTTCAAAAGGGTCAATGCCCACACAGACATGTGGGATGAGTTTGGCCAAGTATGTGTTCAACTAAATGTTTCTCTGGGGGTTTATTCCTTTCCATATGTCTCACTCTAGTTGCTAGCAGAAAGGAATCATTTTAAATGTTGGCCTTTGTAAATTTCTTTTCACAAATGATAAGTGCTCTAGAATAAAGGAGATTTATGTCTAGTGCCCAAACTAAACTCAGAGATTAATATCAAGTTGTACTTGCTCAACTTCCTTCATGTTGGCATGGCATGTAATGCAGAGAGCCTTGGAACGAGTTGTTAATTTGTTTTGAGTTTTTTTCGAATTTTAAGAAATATTCCCTTGCAATGTTTGAATACTTACGCTTAATATTTTTAAGTTTCGTATCAATCCTAGAATGCTGTGATCCTATCGTTTCTAAGGATCGTAACTTCGGTGAATGCGCTTCATCTCCTTGGTTCCCACTTTTCTCACTAGCACAATATAGTATAGGAGTTAGAAGAATGGACTCTGAGGCTGCTTAGATTCAAAGTATTTATCTCCTAGATTCTGCTCTTGTATGTAATCCATTAACTCTATGTGTATCAGGGAGCATAGGCAATGAGTCAGGGAAACCAGGCTCAGGGGAATATGGTTTGTGGTGCTAGAGTCGAGTTGGTTAAATCTATCTTTGTTGCCTGTGCATAGATAACTCTTCTAGAGTGACAGTCCAGTGTACTGGAAATAATGAACGTGGTGGGGTCAAAAGAGTTAATGCAGTGGTGTGCTTAGAGTGGTGCCTGTCCCGCAGCGAGCGCTCAATAAGTGTTAGTTCTATTATTTTATTATCCTGCCATTTGCTGGTCTTCCAGCTTTGCTATCTCTTTCCTGCTGAGCGGATTCTGCAGTAATATAATCACTGGGTGTGTAGCGTCATAATCTGTTGCCTGGGAGACGTGAGACTGTTGTCACAACCCTGCCTTCGCAAATTCATTTCGTGTTCAGACTAGGAAAACAGATAGACAAATCTCTTGCGTAAACCTGGAGAGCATCACTAATTGGCAAATATAGTCAGGACAGTTATGACAGCCTTCTGAAGATAAATTGATTTGTTGTGTTTTGAGTCTGATACGCTCCGTGGTGGGCTTCTCTTGGGCAAAGTATTGCTTTGAAGGTGTGGAGAGGGTGCAGTTTGAAGTGGGAAGAGCCCCGATGATTGTCATGATAGCCCTTTCTAATCATGCAAGAAGCAGGAGTTGCCCCCAATGCCTTTAGTCCTGAGGAAGACAAAGATTTGTCCGACAATCCAATCCATACATTGGATAGTAATGAACATGGTTTGCGTGATACAGACCTTAAACTTAGAAGGACAGACTGCAGAGTCATCTAAGTTACCATTTTGCTTCTGTGGAGAAGAGTGCCACTGTCATCTAAGACATACGCATACTTAACTTTACTGTTGAGGAAATTTCTCAAGTAAAGCTTTGGCAATTCTTCTGCCTGGGTCAATAACAGCATTACATTCATTATTCATATACAGTCATTGGAAGCCAAACTAAGTGAACTCAAACCCCAGCTATACCCTTTAGCCAAAAGGCCTCAGTCAAGTCATCTAATTTCCATGGGACTGTTTTGCCGTCTGTAGTAGGAAGATAATATCTCACAGGGCTTCCATGAGGATTGGGTGAGATAAATGTATGTGAAGTACCTAGGATATAGTAAGCTCTAAATAAACAGTAATTATTATTATCCAAGCAGAGCTTACCCCATTTCTGTGACTAAGAGATGCTGAAAAAGGATCTCTTTTCTGTCCAGAAATTGCCATGATACTGTAAAAAAAAATTTCTAGTTCAGTGGTTCATTGCTTGGGACTTTAGTAGTGAACACATATTTTAAAAGGCAAATGACACCACAACAATTGTTATTGTTACGGGCTAACAGCTAGTTAATAAAGCTAAAGTACTGACAAAAAAAAAAGGCAAATGACCTTATTAGGGTTACTGTTTACTAGAATAGTGGTGGACTGGTTAACTAGCTTTCTAAAAAATACTCTGATTTGTAACATTTGTTGATTTCCTATCAAGTATGAGCTTTCTGAATGTTTAACAACCACCTCTGGCAAGCCCATGCCAGCCAGCTTCCACACACCAATGCCACCTCCTTGGGAAATAATTTGAGGAAGATGCTCCTTTCTCTGTTACCGTCTAGTTGAGAATAGCAGTTTGTGGAAATGAGAGATTTGTTGGAGGAAAAAAAGTTGGAAAAAGATTTTTTTTTAAATTTTCTTTCAGGAGATACTTAGGCAGTTGGGTAGGTGGGCAGGTGCCCAAGATGGACTGCATATACTCCATGGTGACGTCTGTACTAGATCTGTGTCTAGCCCCAGCCCACAAGCAGATGTTTTAGATCTCTGGCCAGCTTTATGATGATGGCAATGATGATGACAGTGATGGTTGTAATGCTGATGGGGATGTGATAATGATCATGGTGATGAAGTTGTGATGTGTGCTTTAGTAGAAAGAGCACTGGCTCAGTACTCTTGGTTTTGGGTTCTGATCTCAGGCCCCGGTGTTTACTAGCTGAGTGGTCTTGAGCAGGTGACATATGGAAAACGAGGATAATAATATTTTTCTTAAATAGCTATGATTATAAGGAGACAAAGTCAGAGAATACACACAAGTGCTTTATACCCTGGAAAGTGCTATAGTAATGCAAGTTACTAGCATCACCATCAAAAAGCAGTTAAAAGCCCTAACTTTATATAACCTGGGACTGTGCTATAAAAGGAGAGTCACAGACACAGCATGATTTCAGACTTGCGTGTATATAGTAGGATTGGTTTATGAATCCTGTATATAAATAGACTGTAATAACGTTAGGGTCTTAGGAAAGGATCTTAACAATGATCTAAATTCATCTCTCCAGAGGCCAAGGCCCAAAGAAGTAAAAAATGTCTTATTACTTTATCAACCATCCACTCTGTCATAGGAGCTCTAGTATGTATCATAGAAGATACATACATAGATAACATGGATGGGCCTTGCCTGCAAGGAGATTATAGTCTTGTACTTGGTAACAAAGCCACGTTAAGGACTCAGGACATAAAACCCTAACTAATGCTCACAGTTGAGCATAGTCATGAGTAAATTCACTTGGTTTATTTCTGGTTTTGTTTCTATTCCTATAAGGTCAATAGTAAACAGGAATACTTTTCAGTCTCTACAGATATTGCTTTTCACACAAAGGGATGGGGCTCAGCCTACACACTTTCATTATACTGATACTTCACATGAAACTTCACATTCATGTAAAGTCTTAATTAAGTCAATAGTCTTAAAAATAGATATGTACATAAAATCAGGAATGTTATAGCTAATAATTGTTTCCCTTTGCTGTTCTTAAATGTACATACTCAATAGGAATCAAATACGTGTTTTGAGTGAATCCTGGGGAGATTAAATTAGAGTTCTAGTTTACTGGTGAGACCAATCTTGTTCCATTCTCAAAGACAAGCTGCTCTACATATTTGAGTCTTAGCTCCTTCATTTGAAAAACAGGGATAATAATAAAATCCTTATAATATTGCACATAATAATCCTTATAATATTAATAATAGGAACTAAATGAGGTAATGTATATAAAGCACTTAGTCTGGTTTCTGTCACATAATAGATACTAATTATTATTAGTATCCCTACTGCATGGCAGACATAAAGCAACCTGACTAGAGTCGCATGGTTAGAAAGTAGTAGTCACCGTATTTAAAACCAGGTGGGCTGGATCCCAAAGCCCATCGATCTCACTGAACTGTGGTGCCCACTGAAATCATTCCAGTAACGCCGATATTTTCCCCAGGAATCACTGGTACTGATCATGAGGACACTCCCAATTCTCCAATAATTAATTCTGTTCTGTTTAAAATCATATTTGTCTGTCCTTTGTTGTTTTCTGGCTATTCTTGGGCCTTGGCTCTTCAGCTCTATCTTGTTTGAAAGGAGACAGAAGTATTCTCTGTGCTTTTAGCTGCCACTACTTTATTTTGAACAAACCCTGCTTCTCAACACCCCCTAGCTCCGAGGGTCAGCTGATGTTTTTTTGTCTCCTCTTTTGCCCCTTTTCTGTCTGGATTTATGAGAAATGTCTACTTTCGAGGCTCTTAGGAGCTAGTTTCAGGTATTTTAGTTACTTTCTAAAAAATCCTGAACCACCTGACACTGCAGGAACAGCAGAAGTCATTAACACTCAATTTTATTTTTCAGGAAAAAGAATTCATGTTTTTAGCAGAACATCAATTCAGAATGATCCAGAAACATGGTTCAGTTTTCTTATTGTTAGTAAGAGCAATGCACAGGCAGTGAGTCAGTTTATTACAGGACCTACTATGAAATGTGACAAAGTACTAGAGTATACTGTTACATAACCTTTGAGCCGCTTATCGTGTCCAGCCAGCAAGTTACTGACATTGCAGTTTGTGAAGCCCAGCAATGCCAAGACTCAGAACAATTGGATCTAAGGTCACAAGAGCACAACATGTACCTAATTTGCCACTGACACAGCTTCATTAGATATACTTCCGTAGCCATTTCACTCAATCTTTTTGGTTGAGAAGTCCTTCCTCTAAAGGAGACAAACTTGTCCTCATCTATTTGCGTCTTTCTTTTTAGTTCCTCCCCATCCTCTGTGATGCCTCATGGATTAGTTTTATGGTTCAGAGGGGGAGGCAAGACTCCTTGCAGCCATCTACATGTGTCTAGCTCTCTGCAGTTTTTCATCTAATGTTTTATCATCGATAAAAACACTTTCTTAACTAAGGAAACTGACAAATAGATGCTGGCAACCATTATTTCTAAGACTACCACCTACTTCAGAGTGCTGCATCCACTAAGATTTTGGCAAGATGAGGGGCACCTGGGTGGCTCAGTCAGTTCAGCATCTGACTTCAGCTCAGGTCATGATCTCATAGTCACAAGTTCGAGCCCTGCATTGGGCTCTGTGCTGACCGCTCAGAGCCGGGAGCCTGCTTCGGATTCTGTGTCTCCCTCTCTCTCTGTCCCTCCCTCTGCTCAAGCTCTGTTTCTCTCTCTCGAAAATAAATTAAACATTGAAAAAAAATTTTTTTTAAGTTTTGGTAAGATGAATTTCATACTTATATATGCAAATTTTAGAGTAAGATTTGACTGTTGAAAATCTATTTACTGTTGTGGAGAATTATTATTCACTTCAAGCCCAATGAGGAATGAGTTTTGGGGAAATTGCGTGAACTATACAATTTTAATGATAATTTATAAATATGCATTTATTTTTTTAATTAAAAAAAATTACATCCAAATTAGTTAGCATATAGTGCAACAATGATTTCAGGAGTAGATTCCTTAATACCCCTTACCTATTTAGCCCACACCGCCTCCAGTAACCATCTGTTTGTTCTCCATATTTATGAGTCTCTTATGCTTTGTCCCCCTTCCTGTTTTTATATTATTTTTGTTTCCCCTCCCTTATGTTCATCTGTTTTGTCACTTAAAGTCTTCATATGAGTGAAGTCATATGATATTTGTCTTTCCCTGGCTAATTTCACTTAGCATAATACCCTCCAGTTCCATCCATGTAGTTGCAAATGGCAAGATTTCATTCTTTTTGATTGCTGAGTAATACTCCATTGTATATATGTATACCACATCTTCTTTATCTGTTCACCCATCGATGGACACTGGGCTCTTTCCACACTTTGGCTATTGTTGATAGTGCTGCTATAAACATTGGAGTGCATATGTCCCTTCGAAACAGCACACCTGTATCCCTTGGATAAATACCTTGGATAGTAGTGCAGTTGGGTTGTAGGGTAGTTCTATTTTTAATTTTTTGAGGAACCTCCCTACTGTTTTCCAGAGCGGCTGCACCAGCTTGCATTCCTAATAAATATGCATTTCTTACTGGAGCTTCATCCCTATTGAAATATCACTCCTCTTTTTTATAATCCATAAAAAATGGGAAGGAAGATGAGTGAAATTTGGAGTTTTTCCCTTTTATTAACTCTTTTCTTTTCACTTTAGGATGAGGACTGAGTCTCTTTGAGCACACAGTAGTCACTCAAAGCATAGTTATTCAATGAATGCTGGATACTGTGAATGGAAGTGATATGATTGATGGTTATAGAATGTCCATTGCTTTTGCTTTCTGGAGGACATGGAAAGTAACAATACTCCTGTCCACCAGAGGAGAGGCAAGAGTATTCTAGTCCTCTGTTAGGTGATTTCACTTGGCTGAAACATGAAACTCTGTGCTCATCCCAGCCTGCCCTGATAGCTGATGGCTGAGGCTTAGCCTGGCCAGTACAGTGTCTTCACCCTGAGGATGGAAAAACACAGGAGCTTATCCTTTACTAGGTCTCTGGAACTGTGACCTCCAGCTTCTAACCCAGCATTGGGCCTGTAGTGATAAATTGTGACACTTGATAGTGGCATATACAATTGTGAAATATTTTCAAGTGATGACGATGGGATCTACTGCATTGGAATGATACTTCACCTTTCTTTATGAACTTCAACTATTTGGAATTATCTAATAAACCATCAGCAAACCCTTGCAAAATCTATACTACTAATTTCTAAGGTAGGAAAACAAATGTTTTCCTCTATTCATTTGGAAAAGCAACAATACAAGAGATACAAGAAAGATTGTGTGTATGTGTCCTTCCTTCCCTCTTCTTTTCTTTCTTCTTTCTTCTTTTCTTCTTTCTTTCTTTTTCTGTGGTGAATCCCATTCAAGATCTACCTTTGCCTACTGTCTAACTTGACCTACAGCATTAGTCCATCCACCTATCCGTTAATTTATCATCCAGCCAGCCAGTCATTGATCCATCTGTCTAACTAGCTAGCCAACTATCCATGTGTCTGTCCATCCAACTCTAAGCACATCACTTAAGTGCCTACTCTGTGCTGAGTCCAGATCAGCTGTTTTATAAAATATTTTAAAATTTGGATTTGTCTGATTACTTCCTCCTGGCAGATTCAGGTAAAAAAAATTTGGTGATGGGGTGGGGTAGGAACACAGAACACAGAATTTTATAAATAAACAATAAATAAAATCTCAGTGCATCAAATCTGGAGGCACTGTCAATTTGTCTAATTGTTGGTGATGTTCACCAGATTTCTTCCTTGACAAAATACAAATATCTCTTTGTAATTAGTACACCGCTTGTGAGTGTGACACACTGAGACCATGTGAATATCCTGTTCCCCAACCATCCCTTACTCAATGGTTGAATATCCATTGATGAGCCTCATCAGAATGAATTATTATTATAGTGATGATTTTCTATTTCTGTTACTCTTTCTAGCTTAGTCATCATTCTTTTGTAAATAAGAGCTCTTTCTTTTTTCTCCCTTCCTCCACCATATTCGTTAAAACACATTAAAATGGACTCTCATGCAGGACAAATAGGAAGCTCTATCTCAGTCATCATTTGGGGCATTTTCACCACTTCCTCATTCACCAGAGACTCACCAAGGTCCTAAGGGACTTCCATAGTGGTGGGAGTCCATCCTGGTCACCACAGCAATACCCACCATTCCAGCAGTGTGATCCATTTGGGTCTACCTCTTTGAAGTTTCCACAGATTCCTGGAACAAAAGCATCTCTGGCAAGTCTGGGAGCATCATGCCCCAAATCATGCTTCTGTGATGCCCCAACATCTAACTTGTGATTAACCTCAGGGAAACTACTCTTCTCTGTGGTTGCATAGAGGTACCCACCTCTTTTTTTTTTTTCCTTTTACCTTCCTTGATAACAAGCATAGTTGGCTCAGTGTCTTGGTCTTTCACAAAAGACAGGAAAACCCTTTGAATTCAAGGCTACAGCTTTCCACACTCCAAGGAAATATTAAGGGTAGGGCTAGCAGAGTCTACAAAGGGTCTGAGAATGAGGAACTCAAAGATTTACAGTGTCATACAGAGTTTTTTCGGGGAATGACCTGGAATTTTAGCTCCGAGTTGTAATGTAATTAGTAAAGTGTGTTCTGAGTTCCAAAAGCCCAATTTACAAACGAATGCAACTATTTTGTAATGAGTAGAGCCAAGCAATGATATCTGCAATTTATAATGGTTACTTCTTTTCTACAAAGGAATGTGAGTTTGGTTCTTGATGCCTCATTTCAATTTGATTTCCACCCACTATTTACAGACTATTTGTCAAATCCTGTGAGAGGAATCTGTTACTTTTTTAAAATTCAATTTTTGTTAAATTGTTCTCCTAGAGCTAAATTTTTTAACTTGCTATTTTACCACACATTTTCTTCGTGTTCCTTCATGCAATTTGTGTGTGTATACAAACACATTCATTCATATAAATATATATTCACTCATATACATATTCATGCATATTTATTTTAGTATTCTAAATAAGGCGGCTTATTCTGATCTGTATGTATATATCATCCATGCAGACCTCTTATCTTAGTAGCAACTTTTCAGCTCATTAGCTCGTTACGATCTTTGAAATTTATTTGAAAATACAGAATGTCATCAACTATTTCATCATTCTAAGGTTCATCTTCCCTTTCCTACTCTCCATGTTTGTACAGAAGACCAGGATTTCTCCTCCTAGATCCCAATCATTCTTTCTGTGTGCATTTAGGATGAGCAAAGGACCAACTGAAGTGGATGACTCTGAAGATAACTGTGAAAACACGATCACAATTGAGAATGGCATCCCCTGTGATCCCTTGGACACTAAGGGAGGGCACATTAACGATGCCTTCATGACAGAGGATGAGCGGCTCACCCCTCTCTGAAGGGCTGCTGTTTTGCTTCCCCAAGGAACTCAACACTTGTTTCTGCGCAACTGCTAAGCATTATAAATGATCAAAGGCAGATTGTATATTTTGTTTCACCATTCTTCTTTTGTAAGAAACTGTCAATGTGCATGAAAGTAAAAGGCAATCAGTTATATCCATGAAGACCTTTGGAATCATAAGCTGTTGACTACTCAGAGTATTCCAAAATATTTCTCCAACAACACAATGTGTAATTGTAGTCATGTGGTGTCTTTAGTTATTGGTTTAAAAATGCATTTGTGTTAAGCATTTCCAGAAATAAGGTCAGGCCACTACATGTATTTTTTTCCACACTTTGAAGACCTAAAGAGAAATATTTTTTCCAGTGGAAAATACCTATAATATGGTATGGAAATCTTTGAAAGTGGATCCTTTTTGAATATTGTTTATATCACTCTGCACATGACTAAGAAATCAAGAATAGAAAATAATGATTATAACTGAGATGGATGAATATGGGAGTATCAATACATGAGGTGAAATTTGATCCTGTTATCATACCAATACTTGCTTATTCTCTATCAGTCTCTGATAGGGTAGCCCTGTTTGTTGACTATTTCTGCAATTTGTAAAAGTACAATCTATGTGAATTTAATAAAGTGCTAATCATCTCTTTTTAATTATGCAACTGACTGTGGTCTGAGAGTTATTTTCATGCTGTGGAAGTCAGGAAACCTATTTTTTATTAGTTATGCATAATCTATTCTACAACCCTAGAAATGAATTATTTTCATTGTGTGTATCCTTACTTTGAAGACAACTTACAGTTAGTACACTTCATTACACTTCCAGATAGGCCATGATTCTTCTAAATTCTAATAATAATTTATTATACATTTATGAATAGAATGAAAATTTGCTGCTCAGTCTGCTACTGCTGTCACCCATAGTTGATGTTACCACAACAGTTTCTAACTCTCTCCCCTGACCCAGTGTTGTTTCCTGGATACAAACTCCAAGATGGGTCGTTGCAAGCAGAAGGCTTACTGGGGAATGCTCTCAGGAGATACACCTGTAAGAAGTGAGGAAGGCAGGTGTGGCAAATAGACTCAAAGATGTCTGCCATCTAATGTTCACACCTTCATGTAATCTCTCTCCTTGAGTGAGGATGGGACTGGTGAGTTGCTTCTAATGTATGGAACACAGCAAAGATGAGACATTACTCCTGCAATTACTTTATATCATGTCTGAGTCTGTCTTGCCAGCAGATGTGTTTAGAGACTCTCCTTGTTGGCTTGACTAAGTGGCCATGTTGGGAAAGCCTACATGAAAGAAACTGTGAACAGCCTCTAGGAATTGTTGGTGGCCTCTCAGCACTGAAGACAGCCTCTGACCAACAGCCAGCCAGAAGCTGAGGTCCTCAGTCCTTCAACCTCAAGGAAGTGAATTCTGTCAACAACTGGAGTGAGCTTGGAAGTGGATTTTTCCCCAGTCAAGTTTCCAGATGAGAATGCAGTCTGGTCAACACTTGGATTGCAGTCCAAGCAGAGGACCCAGTTAAGATGTGCCCAGACTCCCAACCCATGACACTGTGAGATGATAAATGTGTGTTTTTTCAAGCCACTAAGTTTGCAGTAATGTGTTATGCAGCAATAGGAAATTAATAGAGTGGGATTAGGCAGAGGGAGAAGTGACCAGCAACATGGTTACAATAGAGGCTTCAGGCAATCCTTCAAGGAGCTTAGGAGCTGAGGTTGTCCCTGATTCAGATAAGGTGGCTGGGCCTTTGTATCTCCACATTAGCCAGTCATGGCCATGGGTGCTCTCTGGGAGAGGATCTGCTGTTGGGAAAGGCAGTTCCCCGTGGCTGGGGCAATTCCCATCGAAGGGATCAGCTATGAGCCTTCAAAAGGCAATGTTTCCAGAAGCTGGGGATGGGAAGGTGAGCCTTGAAGAGAGGGCCTGGTGAACCCCCAGAATATCCACCACACCCTCTCCAGTCCACTGGCTGTAATGTAGCTTGAATTAATACCCAAAATGCAAACCTGATCCTGTTGGTTCCTGACATAGATGCTTTTAAATGGCTTTTTATTATCCTTAGGATAAAGCCAGACTCTTTATTATTTATTTTTATTTATTTTTAAGTGTATTTATTTATTTTGAGAGAGAGAGAGAGGGAGAGAATCCTAAGGAGGCTTTACCCTGTCAGCACAGAGCCCAATGAGGGACTCAAAGCCATGAAATGTGAGACTATGACCAGAGCCGAAGTCAGATACTTACTTGACTGAGCCACCCAGGCGCCCCAAAGCCAGATTCTTTAAACACAGGACCTTCTGTGGTTTGACCTTCACCTTCCTCTCATCTCTTACCCTGGTCTTCTTTCTGTCTCTCTAACTCTCTCATCCAATCATAGCAAATCTCTCACTTCCAGGCCTTTGAACAAGCTGTTCTCTCTACACTGTTCCCTGTCTCTCAGCCACTCTTGTAGCTTGTCCTTAGCCTTTCTGTCACTTAAACATCTTACTCCTCCTGGAGGTCTTTGCTGGACCCCCAAGCTATATGCTCCTAGATTGCCCAGATTATTATACTTATCTTGTTGTTCTACAGTTACGTTATATTTAAATGTGTTTTTGTGGAGAAAGGAGACCATAAAGGCAAGAGTACCCTAGGGCCCACAAAAGTCCTAATATAGCCTTGTTCCCATGAACATTTTCATAAGCCTCTTCACTTTCCTCCCACTTCTAACCAGATAGAATTAACCACTGCTCTGTAACCTTACCATAGCTATGTATCTTTTTAATTAAAGTCGTTATAATATTTTACTTTATTTGTTTTTACATACCTGTATCTTCACACTAAATATAATGTTCTTGGAGGCAGTGTTCAAATCACCTAGCATAGTTCCTTGTCTTCCTCTTTCCTTTATTCTACAGTGATGAGCAAAATCGAACACAATCCCTGTCCTCATGGAGCTGAAAGTCTCCATAGTCAGAGCTCAATCAACATGTGCTACTAAATAAGTAACCGAGGGGTGCCTGGGTGGCTCAGTTGGTTAAGCGTCCGACTTCAGCTCAGGTCATGATCTCACGGTTTGTGAGCTTGAGCCCTGCATCGGACTCTGTGCTGACAGCTCAGAGCCTGGAGCCTGCTTCATATTCTGTGTCTCCCTCCCTCTGCCACTCCTCTACTCGCACTCTGTCTATCTCAAAAATAAATAAAAACATCAAAAAAAAAAAAAAGCTAAATAAGTAAACGAGATGGTGGCTCTTGCAAGCTCATCATCTCCTTTCTGAGAACAAAGGTTGCCCCTCTGCCTGTACATGGAGGAGTTTGAATTTGTGGGTGTGAGATTTTTGATTTGGACACCATTTTGACTTGGGAACCATATGCTCTTTAATATTATTAGGCCTTCCTCATTTTTAGTAGAGGAAGATTTGCTCTCTCAGTTGACAATATACGATTTACTAAAGAACCATTTTCTGTCTTACATTTTCTTGAGCTCCATTCTCCAGAATAGGGTAGCTTTGCATATAGAATTGGTGAAACGTCATCAGAATTCAGTGTGCACTAGCAAGCATAATCCAAGACATGTATTCTCAAGATGGTGGAAATTGGTCTTAGTGGGAAGAACAAAAAGTTTAGATGTTACAATGGTTTATAGTCCTCCAAAGGACCACTGCACATAAACAGATAAAAAGTATATCTATAGTATTAACATTTTCTGGATAAGCTATTAGGAAAAGATGTCTAAAAAGTCTTAGTAATGGGGAAAAACAGATTGAGAAACACTGATCTCAGATAGGCTTCTTATTTTGAAGGCATGGGATGAACCAGTTTGATCACTAGATCATTTTCTTCACTGTTGGTTTATTCTGATGCTGAGGGGATTTATTCCACTTGCAAAGGTCTGCTCCACTAAATATCCTTGTTGGGGAAGTTTTCTATGCTAGCAGAAATGTGCTATAAACTTGACAGTCAATATAACAGCAAAATGGGGTTTATGTCTTCTGCCTACTGCCTTTGACAAACACTCTGGGTAATTAGAGAGCAGTCAGTCATCAACCACACCTTTCATTTTTAATTTAATGATCCTGTAATGTGTCACAAGGGAGCACATTGTGAGGTGATATGTACTGGAAATAAGATGGTGTAAAGCAAGTGGAAATACAGCTGTCATTCCACTCTCCAAGTCCTTAACAAAAACTGCGATGAAACTGGAAAGACAGAAGCGTCTGAAATCCAGGTCACTTAAAGAAAAAATGAGGTGGGGTGGTGATATCTGGATTTGTTTCATAGAAGAAATGTAAATGCAGGTAACTTTTGTGGGTTTTTTTTTTTTTTTTTGGTGTGGTTTCACCTTCCATGTTTTCCACAAGGACTAACCAATACAAAGATGACTATATTAAAGAATGCAGCGAGTTCTTGCGCTTCGAATGATCCATGATCAGATTCGAGATGTGAATGTCACCAATTGAAATATGCACATTTATCATTCCTGAATAAGGAATAAAGAATGAGAGAGAACCCAGCTTGAAAACCAAAAAAGAGTAAAAAATGCTTCAGAGCCCAAATTCCCAGTCCTTATTTCAAATTCATGGGGCCCTTTTATATAATATTTTATTTCCCATTTTACATCCTGGTTTCCTTCATAAAAAAATACTGCATATCTAGTTAACTCGATTACATAAACAAATGCACGGAAGATTTCCCCCCTTCTTTCCTACTATCTTTCCTTTGCTCCTTCCTTCCTTTCTGCCTCAAGAGTTTATTGAATGTCCACTCTATGTAAGATATCATGCAGGTTCAGGAAATGTAAACAGAGGAAGAATATTTTAGAAGGGACCCATTCATTATTTATGACAAGATTAAGTTTGTTACCAAGAATACCATTCTATTTTAGGGAATGTGGGGTTGAATGAATGAATGAATGAATGAATGAATAGATGATTTCTAGCTGTTATTTACTGAGTTATTTTGCTTTTTATTTTTATAGCATTGTTTGAGAAAGAATTTTACATCAGTTATGGGTACAGATTAAGAACCAATTTATAAAGCACAGCATTAATCTCTTTCTTAGAGCACTGTGGTGGCAGTAGCAGGGTACAAATTGTTGGTGCCAGTCTACTGGGCAGTAGGGGAGAGCTTTGCCAATAATGAAATGACAACTGTGTCCCTAGATGTAATTTTTCCAGAGTTACTCCTTGATGTCATTTATATTTTTTTAAAATTAGTGATTATATGACAATAATATGGATGTGGGGTGTTGGATGAAGGGAGATATTTAATCAGATCCAAAGAGAGTGATCCTAGTTTTTTTCCGAGTGTCTGATGTCTTTTGACCCAGTCTGAAAGTAGGTTCCCAGAAAAACAGGACGAGATCACATCCAAGACCATTGGAAAGGGTGGAACATGAGCTCCTGGACATGGCATAGAACAAATGTGAACACTAACCACCATGGGCAGGCAGGCCTAGAAGTGCCACTGTCAGGTGCCTTGGTATAGTGAACAAGTGGCCCTTATTTGGAAAATTTAGCAGAAGTCCAATTAAGACTAATGTCTTAGTCACTCCCTGGACTCCATTTGTCATCCTAAACCATTAATTCATAGCCCACCATAATTAGTAAACAATGAAGTATTGTGGCAGCATTTAGTTTGTATCAAGGTTGCATTTGAAAACTTATAAGGTTG